GTTCGATTGGACTTAAATCTGGACTATTTGCTGGCCAATCGAGTCGATTTATGCCAACTTCATCGAAGAAATCAAGCACTCTTCTCGCAGTGTGTGGTCGAGCATTGTCTTGCATAAACAAGAAGTTCTCTCCGATGAAGGGTGCGTACGGAACAACATACGGAATGAGTATGTCTTCCACATATACATCTGCGTTCATATTCTTGTCAAAAAAGTGCAGATCTGTATGAACATTAGCTGAAATTCCTGCCCAAATCATCACAGAGCCTCCATTGTAGCTATGCCTCTCACTTACCGTACAGTCTGCAAATCGTTCTCCACCGCGACGATAAACTCGTTCTCGTCCATCTGGAGAATAGACACAAAAACGAGATTCATCGCTAAAGAGTACTTTGCTCCAGTCTGCGTAAGTCCAGTCTCTATGCTCAACTGCAAAATTGAGTCGAGCTACGCGATGGTGACATTTAAGTAAAGGTACAGCTGCTGGCCTGCGCGAAAGCAGATTTTGTTCCTTTAATCTTCTCCGAACGGTGTTAACGGATACATTAATGTTGCGGACATCCCTTAAATTGTTTCTAATTTGAACAGATGTTCGATGTCTGTCTCTTAACGAATTTAAAACAATAAATCGGTCATCATTGTAATTGGTACATCGAGGACGTCCCGAACCAGGCCTTCTATGGAAAGAATTGGTTTGTAAGTACCTGGCATAAGCACGTTGCACAGTTGACACTGACAAATCAAGTGCCTGAGCAACGTACCTTCGACTTCTGCTATCTTCAATTAAAGCAATAACTTGAGCAGCCTTTTCTGGATTTATCGTCGCCATAATCGACGCAATAATTTCGATGCGAAACAATCAATTATAGTTTAAATTGATGAAGTTGCACGAAGCAACGCGCCTCGAAAGGAAAAGATCACGGAAAAAGAAAAGTCGCACGAGGCAGCGCTTATCGGAGTGAACACGTTCGGAAAAGGAAAATTGTTTGTCTTTATTTATTGTCTTGGCATATACATTTAAGAAAAATCCAGTCAAGCCAGGCGTTAAAGCCCGGCGCACCGACAGAATCTCAGTCAAGCCAGAACGTAAGCCCGACGTACTGACAAACTCGCGAAGTCCAGCGTACAAGAGATAGTGCCACTATCGGCGGTGGACCGTACGAAGGCCAAAAGCTGTACGAAGGCAATCTCTGATCGTCTCCGCGGGCACTCTTATATGCCCTGAGCAGCTCGAACTCGCGTGCGAGCCGAGGGCCTCGCGCACGCGACAACCCAGATCGCCGCGTCGCGGCCGCTCCGTGGACTAGGAGCGCCAGGGAATTTCGACGTTCAGGTGGCGTCCAGCGACTCGGCATCCCGCGCACCGGGTCACCGCGAACTCAGGCGCGATCCTGAACAGCATATTCAAGCTGTGTATCCTAATGGCCAATCGTACGGAGAAGGTAGAGAGCTAGGGACAGCTTCGCAAACTAAAGTGTATACCACAGTGATCATGCGTAACTGAAGGGTAAAGAATGATAACTTTTGATAAAAATTAAATTTCCAATTCGCAAAATTGTGTAAATTATTGTACAGAGAATAATGAACGCGGCTATTGAAACTATGAAAGAGCCAAACGAACCGCAGAGCCTCTTAGCCCCTTAAGCCTCGCTGAATCGACATTTGTTGCAAATTCGAAATTGAATATCTCGACACCTAAATATCCTAGCAGCAAATTTCAAAAACGGTTTGAAAGCTTTGAAACCGTACTTTTCGAAAGATCTATCGAAATTGTGCGCAAAGATATTTTTTCAAAATGGCGAGTGATAAAAAGGAGAACATGAAAAGTTGCTAAAAAAAGGTTCGAGCGTGCGACAACGCATGGAGCAAAGTAAGTGTCGCAGCTCAATGGGACGAAAAATATCTAAAAGTATAGAATGTTTTCTTTAAAATACTTCGTTATAGAGCTTGATGCGATACTTATTCACTGAATTATGCAAATTTAACAAGAAAACCGCATTTTTAGCAAAATTTGGAACAACTCAGTGAAAAATGATCACATCGAGCTCGGTAAAGTAGCATTTTAAAGATAACACTCTGTACTTTCATGTGCATTTGGTCCCATTACGCTGCGATACCTGATGCACACCATGCACCATCGCAAACACGGACCTTTGATTATCAATTTTGCATCCTCTCACTTTATCATCCGCCATTTTGAAAAAAATGGCCGAGCATAATTGCCATTCAGATATTCTTAAAGAGGACGTTTCAAGCTTCATTTTGCATTTCTGCGCATATTTGTATTTTCATTATTTACCAAGTTATGATCATTTGAAATTTTGTAATTTTTTCCCAAATTTTTAGTGTGCCGGGTTTTTTGCGTTTGAGTGTACATACCTGTTTAAGACCTTGCAAAAGACATTCCCATTTGAGGGACTTGCACTATGTATCTATCCCTCCGCTGCTGATTTTTCAAAATGTAAGAATTGGGTGCGTTCACGACACTCAACGGTTGAGCAACTGTGGAATAATTCGTCAACGTTATTGGTCTGAAGTAAGGATCTAACAATAAGAACCAATAGTCACTAATCGCTCACTGAGCGGTTTTCTCCACTGAGCGCAATGATTGTTGACATACTTATGTCATACCACATATATTTCATTTCTCGCATTTCGTTGTGAGTTACTGCGCAGGCGTGCTCTGTAGGCGGAGCAGCAGCTCTCATTTTTCTCTAGTCGGGATGCGTCCCGAAAGTCATTAAAAAAAAATTGACAACCTTTATGTCCGCGACTGTGCGTCCGTGCCAGATAAAGGGGTCATTCTGATCCTTAATCTGGACCGTAGACTCGCAAATACGTCGGAGCTCGTGAAAGCAAGCGTCAACCCAGACAGCACACGGATGTCCATTGGACGTCCGTTATATGCCCATTTTTTTTACAAAAGACGTCCATAAGACATACGTTTATCACACAACTTCAGACATAGGACGTCCGACGGACGTACATCGGACGTCCTACAAGTCCGATGTCCAATAAGGACATCCTTGTTACGTCCAATTTATGTCCACGGACATAAATCGGACATACGGACATAAATTGGACGTAAAACGTACATCCACTGGATGTCCGGTGCTGTCTGGGAAATTACGTCCCTCCTCCAGGACGTAACAGACATCCGTGTGCTGTCTGGGATTGTATATCTAAAATATATAGTGCCAAATTATGTAAAAATATATATATTATTATACAGGGTGAAGAAAAAACCCCGGGACCCTTGAAAATTTCGAAAAATATACACTTTATAAAAAAATGTTTCAGACAAAAGTTGTAGCGTTGAAAAGATCTATTTATCGATCTTAACAATTTGACCTTGGGTGGCGTTGTCAAGGTCAGGACAAGGTCACCTCGGATTTTTTAAATAAAACTCCCAATTTTTTATTGCATATTCTTATAGCCCTTCTTCAGATCTTTTCAAAGCACTATGGTTTTATCCAATTTGAATAAGCTGTTCCGAAGTTATCGAGTTTTTTAAAGTAAGATATTTAGCCAACTAAGGCAAGATCGGAAGATGATCCAGCCAACTAAGGCAAGATCGTAGGATGATCCGGCCAACTAAGGCAAGGTCGGGAGTTGTCCGGCCAACTAAGGCAAAAGGCAAATTACTAAGTAAATGGAAGAAATAAACATCGAACAGCAGAATAGTTCAAATAAATAAATAACTGAAATAAATCAATCAACGAAATTAAGACAAGCCAATAGGAGCCAACGGCTGGAAGTTAGTCGCGCAATTATTTTTACGAGTTGGCTCGATCATCCTCCAATCTTGTCTTAGTTGGCCGGATCATCCTACGACCTTGCCTTAGTTGGCTGGATCATCCTCCGATCTTGCCTTAGTTGGCTAGATATCTTACTTTAAAAAACTCGATAACTTCGGAACAGTTTATTCAAATTGGATAAAACCATAGTGCTTTGAAAAGGTCTGAAGAAGAGCTATAAGAATATGTAATAAAAAATTGGGGGTTCTATTTAAAAAATCTGAGGTGGCCTTGTCCTGACCTTGATGATGCCACCCAAGGTCAAATTATTAAGATTGATAAATAGGTATTTTTCAACGCTACAACTTTTGTCTGAAATATTTTTTTATAAAGTGTATATTTTTCGAAATTTTTAGGGGTCCCGGGGTTTTTTCTTCACCCTATATTTTAGATTCTAGTATTGTATTTATAAATAATTTTATACTATTACAATATATATTTTTACATATTCAATTATTGCAAATATTTGTTCACGTTTAGCTTTTTCTTATGTTAAATGTTTCCATATGTTCCTGATGTTTATTTATTCAGAAACAGAAATATTCTTATATATAATATTATTCGATGGTTGCAGTAACATTGCATTATTGCATATTCGTTACAGTACAATATTGTTACAATTTATCGTGGCAATCTTTCTAAAAGCGGATATTTTAACGTTTCTACAATCCCATAGCAATACTGCAGCAATATTTCGCAATGTATTTGCAATATTTCAATATTGCAATGAAAGATTTCTGCAATGTGTATGCAACCTTTGTGTGCTGTATGGGTTTTAATTGATATATCTCTCCCCCCCCTCATTACTTTTATCGTTTCAAATTCTGGTGTGCGACTATATGTAAAACATTACTTTTAATATGTAATATGTGTGTAAAATTGTAGGTCGATATCTTAAATAAATTTCAAATGCCGATTTTTGTCCATAAAAGTGGGCGCTGCGCAACACTATGCGACGGTTGCCGAACACGTGGCCCACACAAATAGACCGAGTCGGCTGTGTGTTCGTGCGTGGTGGGGGAAATTCGCTGGCAAGCCCGTCACCGATTTCCCATCACTCCAAACTCCAGAGCCAGATATAGAACCAACCAACCAACGAACCATAACTTGTTTATTTCAATACTATCTAACGGATTGTGAATTTTAGACCTTAAATTAATGTTTGGAAGAAATATTCAATTTATGACGTAAATTGTGGTACGAGAGATATTTAGTTTTGACGTGATATATTTAGATATTGTGATTACTATTATTATTTATAACCTGTAAGAAATAAAAAATGTGTTGGAAAAGCAAAGGTGAAAAGCGATATTAGCACATATACGGTGGCAAAACAACAATATTCAGGAATAGAATGGTATTACGAAAAATTAGCTGCCATATTTTTCAAGGTTACCGACATGTTCACATCAGAAAGAATAGATCTTGGGACAACAAAAATTTTCAGAGATCGTATACGGCATTACCACGACTCACCCCCCAAGAAGTATATTTTTAAATTACATCTAGTTCTAGGATTCTTTTAAGTTTACATGCATTTATACACATACTATGTTCTAGGTTACAAACATTTTGCAAGCCAACGAATATACCAAAGAATTTGATGATTTAGGTTCTATAAAATATTACGATTCGAATCAACTAGCATCTAATAATCCTATAGAAGATACACGGTCCGAAGCTCAATGTTTATTGACAAAAGGTACACAGAAGTAAACATAGTTAATATTTTCAGAATTGTCAATGTTATTAAATGATCTAGCAACATATAATGCAGATATATAATTTTAATGTCAAATACTAATATTCTCAAGTTTCTAAATAATAAGGTTTTATGTCTTGAAATTGTATTGTGGTAATATGAACTAAATTCCTAATCTTTACTACAGGTATATTACTAGGTGTTTTCGATGGTCATGGTGGTGGTGCTTGTGCACAAGTGGTATCAAAAAGACTGTTTCATTATATATCAGCATGTTTATTATCATCAAAATTATTGCAACAATATTTAGATTCCATCAATTCTAAGAAAAAGTTAGAATTACTTCAGACCTTCAATGACAAGGTGGAATTTGTGGCTGAAATCAAAGATCTTTACCAAACTAGTTTCTTAAATTTTGCAAAGAACTTAATACAATCAGATAGTAAGACAGAATTTCAAATGAAAAAAGCTTTAGAAAATGCATTTCTCAGATTAGATAACGACTTGTCAAATGAAGCTTTGTTGCAATTAAACAAAAAAGATGCTGCGAGAACTCTTGCAGTTGCAATGTCTGGTACAGTAGCTGTTGTGGCACATATAGATGGTCCTCATTTGCATGTTGCTGGTGTTGGAGATTGTCAAGCAGTTTTAGGAGTACTTTCAGGTAATTCTTTCATATATCTAATATGTATTAAAAAATTTAACTTATTAACAACTATATTAATAAATTCCATATTGATTTAGAAAATGATGGATGGTTAGCTAAAATGATGACTACAGAACATAACATAGATAATCGTGCAGAAGTAGAAAGAATCTTATCGGAACACCCATCAAGCGAAAAGTCAACTGTGATCAAGATGGAGAGGCTACTTGGTCAATTAGCACCTCTTCGTTCACTAGGCGACTTTCGTTACAAGTGGGATAAAGATGTCATGAAGCGAGCTGTAGTGCCGTACTTGGGAGAAACTTCTATTCCCCCGAATTATCACACGCCGCCGTACCTGACAGCGAATCCGGAAGTCAAGTATCATAGACTGACGCCTAGAGACAAATTTCTTATATTAGCCAGCGACGGATTATGGGACCTGATCTCGCCGTTGCAAGCCGTACGCTTGGTTGGAGAACATATGAGCGGTAAAGTCACGCTTAGTCCATTGAGATTACCTCGCAAGAATATGAAACTGTCGGACATAAACGAGATGTTGCTTCAACGCAAGGAAGGTCTAAAGAAAAAGCCGCTTGACAGCAATGCAGCAACGCATTTACTGAGAAATGCTTTGGGAGGCACAGAATATGGAATAGATCACGCAAAATTATCGCAATTGTTAACTCTGCCAAGTGAAGTGGTGCGAATATTTCGCGATGACATCACTGTGACAGTTATCTATATGGATTCAGAGTTTCTGAGGCATTGTCCGCCTTAAAATCGCCTCTCTGTAATCGTTAATTTTAAATATTGTAAATTCATCAATTTATATATCCGTATACAGCTTGTTATTTATTTAGTTAACAATAAAAACAACTTACATGAAAACAGCATCCTGAATATTGAGATATATATATATATATATAAATATATATATATATACATATACATATTATATATGTATATATATATATTTGTGTATTATGTTGCATAATACATGTTGCTCTGTATTCTTACAAATTTTCATTACTTATTCTTAAATTTACTAATCACGATTCGATGTCGATTTTCGTACAATCGCTATCGGTCACGTATGAATCGAAACAATCAAATGAAAATATACAGAAGCACAATATTAAAATTATATAAATGTATTATGAAGTAACTATAAAATCGATAAGATTTACAATTAATTTGTTAGGTATATGTGATTAGATAGTAATGCACTAAATACATAGTTTGTCATACACCTTGGTAAACATATCACATTTTTCCTATTTTGCATTTGATGATCAAAAATAATTTACCTTCTGTGTCCGACTGATAAATCTAAATTCTTTCGTTATCTCAAAATATAGTTTATTTTGTAATATATGAGTTATTTCCACTGGTTAGTGTTTGTAAATAAACGACAAGCTCACAATATCAGATTGTATTCGTTTCTTTTTTTTTCATGTTGCACTTAAAACAAGGAGAAAAATGAGCTCGTTTCCGAATATATTTATATAGACATTATAGAGTGTTATTCATAAGAGGAATAAGGCAAGTGTATACAACTAAAGACATTTGTTGAATTAGAAATCCCTTTACATAATTATAAGGGCAAGTCCAGTGACCTTTCAACCCTCTTGACCGAAATCTTCCTTAAATTTATCTAATTTTTTCTTGTCTTCTTCGTTCACGGTAGGACGGGTAGTTCCTAATGATTTCAACATATCTTTCTAAAATGACAAATATATTACACATAAAAATACATTATAATTTATATATAAATATGTAATTAATTATATAATCTATTTACTTTTTTTTCAGATAATATGAAAGAGAAGTAAAGTTCACAGGAGATGTCAACGAATGGAATCTAAATCTCTCTTACCATGGTAACTGGTGGTTCATACAACTTGTCACCATCTACTTCCATCCAATTCATTTCTATAGCAGCCGGGTCACCAGGTGAGCACGGAGTGAGTAAGTCGTCAACGATGATAGAAGGATCTTTCGGTGACGGTCCCCTGACACGCTTAAAGTGCGTAGCCGTTTGCACTTGTCGGACTGGCTGCATTAAGGCATCCCGTACGATGATACTTACATCAGCTCCCGAGTAACCCTCTGTGGATGCTGCTAGTTTCTTAAAATCTTCTTCCGTTAAACAATGCGAGGTGCTGCCCAAATGAAGTTTAAACATAACAGCACGCGCTTGTTCCTCGGGCAATGGAATGTAAATTCTTTTCTCGAATCGTCTTCTGATCGCGGCATCTAGTACCCAAGGTATATTGGTTGCTCCCAATACAAGTATACCATCATTGTCAGATCCTACACCTAATGTTAAAACATGAATTACGATGCGATTTACGAAAAACAAAAAGAGATTATAATTTATAAATACCATTAATAAATACCATTAATACTTTGAATTTCATACCTTGCATTTGAACTAAAAATTCTGTTTTTATCCTTCTTGCAGATTCTGACTCATTGTCAGAACGTGAAGAACAGAGAGAATCTATCTCATCGATAAATATAATGCTAGGTTTGTGTTGTCGCGCTAATTCAAACAAATTTTTTACAAGCTTCTCTGATTCTCCTAACCACTTGCTTACTAAATCTGATGATGATACGGAAAAGAAAGTAGAGTTATTAGCTTCTGTCGCCACTGCTTTCGCTAAATATGATTTACCAGTACCAGGTGGCTAAACATAAGATTAAAAACATGATAAAAATTTTGTATAAAAATAAGCCATTCATAACTACTACATAATTTGTTACATCTTTGATCATACTTACTCCAAACAATAGAATACCCTTCCAAGGTATGCGTTTACCAGTAAAAAGATGAGGAAAACGAATTGGTAGAATAACAGCTTCTTTTAAAGCTTCTTTGGCTCCATCAAGACCAGCCACATCGCTCCATTTAACATCTGGTTTTTCAATTATTATCGCACCTTCTAATTTACTTTGTAATTTCTTTTTCTCAGGATCACTGTCAGTATCACTGTCACCACTGTCGCTCTTTTTATCTTCATTCTTGGAATTATTTTCTCCTGTCTTAACTGGTTTTTTCTTACTTTTTTTCAAGTAAGCTTTTAATTTCTCTGCTCTTTCTAAATATTGCATACATTTTGCTCTTATACTTTCCTTTGCCCTATCTCCATGTGTATCATCTAAAAAAATTATCATTATTAAAAATATTATGTATTAATACTAATTCAGTACAAGATATTAGTTTTACTAATTGTGATACAATATAATTTTCACTACATACATGAAATCCAGATGTTTACTTAATACTAAATATTAGATATTATTTATCTCACATACATTTGATTGAATGCAGGAAGTATTCAACAGCATGTTCGTATAATCTCAAGGCTTCTTCATAGTTCTTGTTGCGGTCTTCCTCTGTAGCCTTTGTCACGAGATCTATTGCTTTCTGCAAAAGTCATTGCTTATTAACTAAATCTACTAGATGTCTACATTACAATTACAGTTATATGCTCTATAGTGCTGTATTAGTGATATATTAACCCATATTTCTATATTATTACCTGCAATATTGCCGAAGTCATGCCAGCTTTTCAGGATTTTTCCTTCTCAATGAGAAGTCAGGTAGAATTCGATTAGGGAAGTATAAAAACTTGTTTAACGCAATCACACTACCATATTGATCATAGGTTTGTTCTTTATTGCTGAACTTTTTGCACTAATGTACACTAGTAGTACTGGAACGTTCTTTATTGCGGTGCAACATAACCCAAATCCGTTCTATATTGCAGTGCAATGAAATTTAGTGCAATAATTCATTGTAATAGTAGTAGTATATTGGTTAAATGGCGCTCGGGGTCAGCCGATTTCCGTTATGGCCAACTGCTAGTTTAGAAGTATAATAGTTCAAATATGTAAATTACAGAATTTGCAGAAAGAGAGAAGTAATCTGCACAATTGTGCGTAGGCTTGACCAGCATTCCGAAGATGTCGATGGGGTGATGAGGAAAGGAGTCTTTGAGAAATTTGACAAGATGTGTTGCTCGCGGTCTAGTGTTGGGAAATAGAAAATCACATGGTTGGCATCTTGACGAGATTCACCACAAGTACAATCTGGGGTACGTTCCAAAATCCAACCTTGGTTACCATAATTCGTTCCGAAAATATTTATGCTGAGTGGTTATCCAATGATAGCCGTTCCAAAAGTCGCAGTTGGTCGACCACGAAGGTAACTTTCTTACCTCATAAAATGTAGAGGTTGTTTGGGTTACCACTGCTAAAGCGCGGGAAAATACAAAATGAAAGTATTCAACTGTTTATTCTTAATTGTACATTAGCTTCCCTTGATCAAAATAAAATTTTAGGCAGTGCAGCATCATGGCTAACAATGATGTTATACTTGTAAAAGGACGACATTTTTCAGTGTTCGATTCTCAGCAAGAAATTGAAAGAGGAAAGAATGGTGGAATCTTAGTTACAGATAAAATTAGTAAGTATTTCAGTGATATATGTTAGAACTGAGATAGATTAAATCACTTCTAAGTTTTATATCTTATTTTATTTATATTTATATATTTGTAAGGTGGATTACTGTTTGAACTGCCGCTTTCACCGAAGGTTATGGAATTTTTTGATATTTATGTAACAGATAAAAGTGAAACATTACCAGAGAAAGCAACTGAAGTTAATGCCTCATGTAATATTATTTTATTTACTTTATAATATATTTGTTTACATGAATATACGAATATATTAGGAGCGCAAAAAGGTTCTGAGCCTTTTTTTGCAAAATTCAAAATTTATTTAAGAACAAACAAAACTATATTAATCAACGAAATATTCCCCGTTTGCATCGATGACCTTTTGCCATCTTTCGGGCAGCTTGCGAATTCCCTGATGGTAGAAGCTCACCGGCTTCGAGGCGATAAAGTCATCAATGCATTTTCGTATCTCTTCAAGTCATGTCACAAAATGTGTATCAGCCAAGAAATGCTGCAGAGACCGGAATAGGTAGTAATCGGAAGGCGCCATGTCTGGGCTATACGCCGCGTGCGAAAGAAGTTCCCAGCCTAACGCAAAGATATGGTCCTGAGTCACTTTCGCAACATGTGGTCGGGCATTGTCATGAAGCAGTATCACTTTACGACGTCCTTTGCCAGTAAATGGCCTCTTTTCTTCAAACGCATCGCTCAAATTGCTCAATTGTCGCTGATAGCGATCTGCCGTTACTGTTTCACCCGGCTGTAACAACTCGTAATACAATACACCTTTCCAATCCCACCATATGCAAAGCAAAACCTTCTTGGCGTGGATATTGGTCTTTGGCGTCGATGTCGAAGGTTGACCAGGGTCAACCCATGATTTTTTACACTTCGGATTATCATAAAGTATCCACTTTTCATCACCTGTAATGATTTGGTACAGAAAATCCTTTTTCCGGAACCTTGAAAGCAAAGTGAGTGCCGTGTCACGCCGTCGATTTTTGTTGTCTTCGAACAGTGCATGCGGAACCCATCTGCCTTCCTTTTGAACTTTTCCCATTGCATGTAAACGTGTGGAAATGGCTTGTCGCGTAACGCCAAGTTGCTCTGCAAGCTCCTTTTCAGTTTGTGCAGAGTTTATATCCAACAATGCTTGCAGTTCGTCCGTTTCAATCTTTTGAGGGCGTTCAGCACGCGGTTCATCTTCAAGACTGAAATCTCCTTGGCGAAATTTTTGATACCATCTTTTACACGTAGCATAACTTACAGCGTTCTCTCCATATGCAACACAGATAATTGCAGTGGCTTCAGCAGCATTTTTCTTCAGATGAAACGCGAAGTGAATGGAAAATCGAATATGCTCTTTTGTTATTGCCATCGTGAACACTGCTGATCTTAAGGTTATGTGCATCAAACGCCAAATCGCACGATGTTTCGAAAGACCAAATGTCACTGCTTTAAAACCGCAAGAGGGCGGGAAAATTAATGCAATTTAAATTGTGGTTTCAGTAGTATGGAATCTAGGGCTCAGAACTTTTTTGCGCTCCTAATATATACATATATAAATTTATCTTGCAATAATTATTTCAATTGTAGGTTCGAATTTAAATAATAATAACTCTGTTAATCATAATAATATAGATGAATCATCAAATATAAGTGCAGGTATATATTAACGAAAAAATTAACATTAAGTTGTAACGCAAATCAATTTTTTCACTCATTTATATATTTATTTTACTTTTCAGCTATTTGGGACGATGAAAGCATGAAACTGTTATTTAGTTTATATGAAGATTATCAAGATAAGTTTCAAAGCACTGTAATAAAAAATGATACAGTGTGGGACAAAATTAAAGTACAAATGAATATTAGTGGAAATTATAATGTTACCAGAACACAAATTAATGATAAGTGGGCAAATATGAGGAAAACCTACATGAGAATAAAAGATCATAATAAAAGGACAGGAGTTACACCTAAAACATGCCGATATTATAATGAAATGGATTGCTTATATGGAGACAACCCAAATGTAAATCCGGTTAAAGTTGTGTCAAATATGAGATTTGAGGCTGAAGATGAAAATATATCATCTGCAGAAAACAGTGCAGCAGATAATAATGAACCAAAGAAAGGAAAGAAGACTAAAATTGAACGACATTTATCTTCCTGGACAGAAAACTTTATCGAGTATAGTAAAGAACGAGACAAACGTCAAGAACAGCGTAATGCAGAAAAAATAGTTGCAATAGAAAACGCAACAAAAACTTTTCGCGAGGTAATGGAAAAATTAATAGAAAAACTATAATTTGCTAAAAATGTTTTTCTAAGAGACTGTTTTCAATATTTCATTTTATTGTATATATTAAAAATATTAAGATTTGTTTACGCATTATTATCAGTATTATTAGTTGTATCGTTATATATCGTTACTATTATTAGGAATTTTGTGATAAAAATAATTCTTAGTATGTGCCAAAGAATTGTTTTTAGGAAGATAATTAACGTTCAATTTACAAAAGTTTGGTTAATGTTATTTTTGTGTTCATATTAAGGCTTCCGTTTTCTCACATTATCTTTCCTTTTAATGATATCAAAAGCAAGAAAATGATGCTAAAAATTCTTGCAAAATATGTTGAAATAGAAAAATATATCCATGAAATAACATCTATAATTGATCGAGCAATTTTATTAAATAGTCCAAACACTTCCCTTTTACTCTAACAACGAATAATTGGTTGCAAATTAACGTGACATATAATTAATGTTTTTAATCTATTTCTTCGCATAATAGTGTTACATTAATGTACATTAAATTATTTATTATTAGAAAAAAGAAATGTTCAGAATATATTACAAATTTGTTCCATGGATTGCAAGTGTCACTTTATACATATATCTTTTTATTTCAACATGTTTTGCAAAAATTTTTAACATGCGTTTTTTCACTTCTGACATAATTAAAAAGAGATAAATGATGCGAGGAATCAATCCTTAATGTAAGAAGAATTTATTTTTCACGTTGATATTAGGCTCAAGTCTGTCTTACATTTCTGGACTGATACACATAATAGAAGCATAATATTTATGGAATACTTTTAGTTTTGAGTTGTTTGAATTTTATTTCGAGTTTAAACTTTAACATGACATATTTTTAGTTATATAATGATATATATTTCAACAAACTAAAGTTTAATTTAAGTTTATTTTGGTTCTTATTCGTAACTCATATTCTTATTTTCAAGTATTGTTCGAAAATGTTTATTTATTTCGTTCATAAATATTTAAATACATATATATATATAAGTATTGTTACAGTTATAATAAACACAGTTTATACAGTTAATTAACATAATTTTTCAATCTACTAAATGTAACATTTGAGCTATATAATCCCTTTTATTATTAGGTTGTTCGGAAAATTCGTTTCAAATTTTTGAAATAAATTAAGAGCGCAATATTTTACACAAAGAGGAACTTTATTGAAGCAAATATGTACCGTTTTGTTCAACGACCTTGGCCCATCTTTCAGGAAGCTGCATGATGCCTTTGCTCTAAAATAAAGGTTGCTTATTGGCGAAGAATTTATCAAGATGACTTTTGAGGACTTTCAAAGACTCGAATTTCTTGTCCCGAAGAAGATTTTTTAAAGAAAGAAATAGATAGTAGTCAGATGGGGCAAGGTCGAGAGAATATGGAGGATGAGGAAGAACGTCCCATTCGAAGTCTAACAGCTTCCTACGAATAGACATTGCGACATGAGGTCTGGCGTTATCATGATGGAAAACAATTCCACGCCTGTTGGCCAATTCAGGGCGCTTCCGTGCGATGACAGTCTTCAGTTCGTCCAGTTGAAGGCTGTACTTCGCCGCGTTGATGGTTTCGTTTGGTTGAAGAAGCTCATAATATACCACGCCCTTAAAATCCCACCAGATACTCAGAAGAACCTTTTTCGCGTGAAGCCCCGGCTTGGCCACTGTTTGCGTAGACGCGTCGCTGGTTCCCCACGACCTCTTGCGGCTAACATAATTGTATAGGATCCAACTTTCATCGCCTGTTATGATCTTCTTCAAGAACGGTTCTTTTTGGTGCCGTTGAAACAGCATATCGCAGACGTTCACACGTTCCAGCAACTGCCGTTCATTCATTTCGTGTGGCACCCACACATCCAGTCGACTTGAAAATCCTAGCTTCTTCAGATGGTCATGCACGGTGGAAACAGACTTGTGCAGAGTGTCGGCGAGTTCTCTAACTGTCACTCGAGGATTTTCGTGCACAAGATCCATAAGAAGCGTTTCATCAACCTCCTGAGGCCGGCCTGAGCGAACTTGATCTTCCATGTTGAAATCGCCAGCTTCGAATCTTCGATACCATTTTTGAATTGTCTGGTGAGTGACGCAGGCATCTCCATATACTGAGAACATCTCATTCAGGGTCTGCGAAGCCGTGAAGCCACGTTTAAAGCAATATAGCATCACATGACGAAAATGGACTTTTTGGTTCTCCATTTTTCAAACTGATTTCTGACGAAATAGTTGCACTTAGGAAGATCTGCGAAGTTTCCTTAGCGGGCTCATAGATCCGGGAATGTTTGTTGACAAACATAAAATCGTTTAGAGCGCCCTCGTTCTTACTGATTACATAGAAATGCGGAGCGCGCGAAATTTGAAACGAATTTTCCGAACAACTTAATAATACCTTCTGCGTCTCCTGCATGTTCATCATTATTATCATCCACTTCATTATGTATTGGTTCACCATCTAAGATATACTCATCTATATCTTCATCTATATCATTAATACATAAATTGTGCAGAACACAACACGCCAAAATAGTTTCGGGAATCAAATCTACTCGACTCATATGTAAGTATTTCAGACGTCGGAATCTCTCAGACGGCCTGATTGCGAAATCTGGCTTTGTAGAGACCTCGGGGATAGATCGAAGAATATGTTACAACAATTTGGTACTGATATATGCCAGCAACGAGGCAAAATATTTTTTCTTGTAACATGGTATTTCGCGGGACTCGATGCGATGTTTCGTACGACACACGCTTTATTAATATATGATAAATTTTTTACGGCCGGAATGCAAAATCTGGCTCTGTAAGGACCTCGATAATAGTTCAAGGAATATTCCATATCAATTCGGCGATTACATATATTACGCCAACAAGGCGGAATATCTCTTCTTGTGAAATAGAATTCGCATGATCCACTTTGACGCTTGATGCATCTTTATTTATTTATAATAAAAGTTAGACAGCCTGATTGCAAAATCTGGCTTTGTGAGGATCTTGGGAATAATTTTAGATATATGCTATAACAATATGATGATGATATATTACATCAGTGAAGGAATATATCTCATTTTGTACAATGCTACGAGTACTATACGTGATCCGCTCCGACGCTTCATAAACCTTTATTTATTTATGATACATTTCTCACAGCCTCACTGCAAAATCTGGCTCTGTAGGTTTCTCGGGGATAGTTAAAAAAAGATGCTATAACAATTTGGCTGTGAAACATATCGTCAAGGAGGTGAAATTTTGCATCTTCTATAATGATTTTTCAACTGATTCGCTCCAACGCCTGGTACGACGGGCGCTTTATTTATATATTATACATTTTTTACGACCGGATTGCAAAATCCGGCTTTGTACCGTTCTCGGGTATAGTACGAAGAAGATGCTGTAACAATTTGGTAATAATACGTATCGTCAAAGAGACGAAATATTGCATCTCGTAAAATGATATTTCGAGTGACTCTCAGCGACGCTTGGTACAGCAAACGCTTTATTAATGTATGATAAATTTTTGACGGCCGGATTGCAAAATCTGGCTTTGTAGGGTTCTCGGGGATAGTTCAAGGAAAATACCATAATAATTTGGCGATTATATATATTGTCAACGAGGCAATATATCTGTTCATATAAAATTGTATTCCGCCTGACTCGCTGCAATTTGGTACAGCTGACGTTTTATTTATATATAATAAATTGTTGATAGCCTATTTGTAAAATCTAACTCTGTATAGATCTCGGAAATAGTTGTAGGAAGGTGCTATAACAAGTTCATGATCATATATTACGTCAATAAGGCAAAATATTGCTTCTTGTAAAATGGTATTCCACCTGACTCGCTGCAACTCCTGGTACGGCTGATACTTTATTTATATATTATAAATTTTGGACGGCCGGATTGTAAAATCTGGCTGTGTAAGGTCCTCAGGGATAGTTCAAGGAAGATGCTGTAACAGTTTAGCAATTATACGTATTGTCAACGAGGCGAAATTTTGCATTTTGTAAAATAATTTTTGGAGTGATTCGCTGCGATGCTTGGTACGGCGGACGCTTCATTTATTTTTCATAAATTTTAGACGGCCGGATTGCAAAATCTGGTTTTGTGGGGATCTCGGGAATAATATAAGGAACATGCTATAATAATTTGGCGGTGATATACAGGGTGCACGATTTATCTGAAAACATTGAAATATCTCGAGAACTATGCATTGGATAAAAAAAAGTGGTTAATGAAAGTTGTTAGTCTCGAAGGGGGACATCCAATGATACCAAACTCGACCTCCCACCCCACCCCCTGGGGGTGGAGATTGGGGGCAACTTTGAAATCTTAAATGGAAACCCCCATTTTTTTATTGCAGATACGGATTCTACGCCACAAAATACGTAAATTTTGTCCGAAACTTTTTTTTTGATTCGTGATAGATGGCGCTGTAATCACAAAAAATTATATTTTCCGCAATTCTCCAGAAATGATCATTGGATTGAGAAATAAAAAATATCTGTTCAATATTTTTAAAGAACATAATAAAAGTTATTCCCCCCCATCCTCTCGAAGTAGGGTGGGTGGTAACGTTCAAATCTGCATGACGGTTGCCCAGCGCATAACTCAATAGCAGCACGGGAAGTATTAGACCGTGATTACAATGGTCGATGGATTGGCAGAGGTGGCCCGATTAATTGGCCTGCTAGGTCGCCTGATTTGACATCGCCGGATTTCTTTCTGTGGGGTTACCTAAAAGATAAGGTTTATCAACAAGTGCCAACAACTGGTGAAAACATGGTAGAACGCATAAGAAACGCTTGCGCTGAAACTCTCGCAGATATGCTTCTATCCTGTGTACAGTCATTTGAAAAAAGGATCAATAAGTGTATTGAAGTTGAAGGTAAAAATTTCGAACACTTACTCTAATTAATTGAACAGTGAGAGGCAAGGGGACTCACATTAAAAAAGCACCCGAAGGGAACATAAAACTACTACGTCCTCGTCGTTGTTCCTGTGTAACGCTAAAAGTAGTTTCTCGGAAAAATTCAACGCTATCTATCACGAATGAAAAAAATTGTTTCAATAAAAATTTCACGTACAATCTAATTCCGCAATGAAAAATGTGGGTCCCCATTTGAGATTTGAACGTTATCATCCACCCTACCCCGAGAGGATGGGGGTAAATAACTTTTATTATGTTCTTTAAAAATATTGAACAGGTATTTTTTATTTCTCAATCCAATGATCATTTCTGGAGAATTGCGGAAAATATAATTTTTTGCGATTACAGCTCCATCTATCACGAATTAAAAAAAAAGTTTCGGACAAAATTTACGTACTTTGTGGCGTAGAATCCGTATCTGCAATAAAAAAATGGGGGTCTCCATTTAAGATTTCAAAGATGCCCCCAACCCCCACCCCCAGGGGGTGGGGTGGGAGGTCGAGTTTGGTATCATTGAATGTCCCCCTTCGAGACTAACAACTTTCATTAACCACTTTTTTTTATCCAATGCATAGTTCTCGAGATATTTCAATGTCTTCAGATAAATCGTGCACCCTGTATATCGTCAGCTGGACAAAATACGTCAATTTGTAAAATGGTGTTGCACGTGAGTCGCTGCGACACTTAGCTCACTCACCCAAAAGCCTGAAAAGCATTTTTTCGCCGTGTATCGGCCGGCGAAATGCCCGAGTGAGTAAGACAAGGACGGTGCGACCGATTGTTCGTCCTTGTCAAACTGACTTGACCCAACCTTCCTGCTCTTGCGCTCGCGCGCACGGTGTTGGTTCGCGATCTCGCCGCACGAGGCCTCCAAGGTCAACGCTGTGTGGGGACTTTGAGCTCCCCAAAAGCGCACGCATCCGTTTTCCGTGCGGCGCTATAGAGCGCGCGCAAGTGTCACTCGTGCGGGAAAAAGGACCAACGAGCCAACAGTAACCGTTGGAAGCGCACACAGAGCTCACGAACATACGATCGCTAGTATATAGTTAGTTATTCCTTTTTGTCGTGTGTGACACCGCGAGATCTGCACGCGGTCGCGATTGTGCGAGAGCGGGCAGGCAGGAGCATCGGCTCCGTTCGACACACATACACATATACATACGAGTCCCGCAGTGGCTCATATGTCGTGCGAGCGCAGAGAACTATTTTCTCTTGTTGTAAGCGATAAGTTGTACCTGTGACTCACGTGCTCTGCAGCTGGCAGGCACGTGCGCAATAAAGGGACCAAAGAAGAACACGCCTAGGTTGATTTAGGAACCTACCCTCCACTTGCATCAGCGAGAGAGCAAGAGGACACAAAAACCCTAAAGCTGTATTTGTCTCTGGCTCCTGTAGACCCTTAACCTCCGAAGTTAACCAAGGTTGATTTTGGAACGTACCCCTGGGGAGTACACTCGTGAACTAAAAGGTATGTGCACCGATTTTTTGTTGACTTCGGAACGCGCTCCAACTTGAGGAGAAAGACAACCACTGTTTCATACGTCAGCGCTGTCACTTATTACGAGAGCAGAAGGGTGGCATATACGAGTGTCAAATAAGTAGTGATTGTGGCGTAGATACAAATGTCTTGGAGACTTTGAGTTATAATTGAAGAAATGAAGAAAACAAATAGTGATTGTGATGAAAAGTGGCAAAAGACTTCATAAAATTTGTAAAACAGCATATTAAAGGAGAGTATTAATTGTTTAATAATATTTTAAGTGAAAAATATTTTTAAATTTGAGTGTAAGTTAAAAAAGTTATAAACCATAATTTCTTTAATGTTAATAATTTTATAGCTATAAATTTGTCATCGACGTTAAATGAATATGTATGTAATGCTATCATTTACATAGGTGGAAAATTATGTTATTGCGCTCATAAAAAATAAGCAGCAGACCAAGTCGAGTGATATTTTTTTAACAAGATACTCATATCACTCAATTTGATCTGCTGCTTACTTCTGCTGAACACAATAATATAATTCCTCACCTATGGAAATAACAGCATTATATATACGCATCCGCATCGGGCCGACGATTAAATATCTCGGCCTGACGTTGGACGGCCGGCGGGACTTTGGCCCGCACTTTAGGGATCTGGCCCCCAGGGTGCGCAACGCGGGACTGGCAGTCGCTAGTCCCCAGCGCAATCTTGGGGGTCCAGGATGGAGGGCTCGCCGCCTATACGCGACGGCCGTTCTGTCGATCGCATTATACGGGGCGCCAATCTGGGCGCCTCAGCTCAGCGCCTGCCGCGAGGGCCAACGAAGGCTGAGGCAGGCGCTGAGGCCAATGTTTATAAGGATGTCGAGATCGTACAGAACGGTCTCGTACATGGCGGCGAGCACTCTGGCCGGCTTCCCTCCCGTGGAGTTCATTGCGGAGGAGCGCAGAGTCCTCTATTGGAGGATAAAGGAGCTCCGCGAAGAGGGGGGCCTTAGGGCCAGGGATGTGCGGGCCTTAAAGTCTCAAGCCGTGGCCCGTACTCACGAGATGTGGGCGGACAAATTGTCTGACCCACGGGGGTACGGGCGCCAGACGGCGGAGGCCGTCCGCCCCTGCCTGCCAGAATTGACAGGCAGGAGGGGATGCGGA